TAAATGGAATTCGTTTGGGGCAACTTCCAGAGCTTAACCGAATGCCATTGGTTGGCGGTGAGGCACGAACCCCAACATGCGCACCACCGACTTTTAAGATTTATTTTTGAGAGATTGTAAGCTGGTTATCAAAGACACAGTGGCCTGCATGTTGGGGTTCCTCCGTCACCACCAACCTACCCCAGCACATAGCTTAATGGTGAGGCACAAGCACTTTCATGTCGCAAAAATTAAATTCTAGCGACACATTTTGCTGACGTGTCGTCCATAGCGACATGAGCCGCTATATTGCTACAAGTAACCTGCGATCAAGCCTGGGAGTCGTGGCTATTATTTATGTTGCAAGCAGTAGAAGAAACATCAAGATGGTCCACAGCCAAAATAGCCGCGAACTCGTCGATGTAATCTTTGAACAACCCTATTGCAGGATTGCTAATTTGGTAGAAAAAGGGGTTGCCTGACGGCAAGCAGCTTCACGTTACCTGAAAGACTTAGTCGAACTAAGTGTACTGAAGGAAATACCATATGGTAAAGAAAAGCTATTTGTTCACCCAAAACTAATGTAGCTACTAAGCAAAGATAGCAACCAATACATGCCTTATATCTCAAGCACCAAACTATAGCTCTCAAAAAAATGCTCCCCATGCCTCAATTTAAATGGAGGGGGGGTGATGTATGGCAGTTTAAATAAAGCTAGGAATATTTTTCCAGATCTTATACATTTTTTCTTTTTAATTAAAAAGAAAATCTGCTAACACTTATACTAAAAAGAAAAATGATAGGAAATGCTATTTAGCTGCTGTTTTTAAAAAGCAGGCTAATCTGCATTTCAGATAAAAAATAATGCAATAAGTGAAAGGAGAATGGTCATGGATGGCAATACGATTGGCGCTCAAAGAAACGATTTTTCTATAGCAATCCCGGAGCAAACAAGCTCCACCGCTGATCGCTCTCATCCATTAATGAAGAGGGTACGTTCTGGACTAAGCTCTTTAAATGGAGAGCTAGCCAAAAATAAAAAACATATAGCAGCCACAGCTACCATAGTTGTAGCGGCTGCAGGTGCCGGAGGCCTAGGCAGCGGCATAATGCGTGCGGGAATGAAGCAATCTACGGTAATAGACTCTAGTTTTTTTAGGAATGTTTTCACAACTAAAGATCTTACTGCGTCACTATCTATGGGCTTGGGTACCATTGGTTTAATAGGTGGGATATATATGCTACGCAAAGTAATATCCTATGCCCCTCAGCCCGAAGAAAGTATCTCTCTAGAGCAACTTCCCCGTTCTTCTGCAGAAACACTTCCCCTTTATTCACCAGAAAACCATTCAGAAGCCCTCCCCCCTTACTCCTCAGAACACCAAACAGATAATTATATAACCCCTCCTCCCCCTGCGCGTATTAGAAACTGATCAGTCTTACAGGCCCACCTTATTAATAATAAGGTGGGCCTATTTATAGCTGTTTTTAACAAATGGTTATTTACATAGCATGTACATCCAGCATCTGCAATAAAAATAGAACGCAAATTCGGATGGGAAGTACTGGAGGGATTGATGCACAAAGATAAAAAGCACTTTTGTGCTCTTGAAAAGAACAATACAAGGAGAAAACTATTCTTGAGTAGATGAGTATAACTTTTTTAAAAGGTAATTATTACCTTTTATATTTTTCTTCTTTCCATTATATATAAAGGGTTTGCGCTGGTTTTAGCTAAAAATTACCTTTCCTTGCCGCTCTTATATAAGAAAAAAGCTTCTCATACATAAAGAACAGCTGTCAAGGCTAAGTTCAGACATTACGTCAAATATAAAAAAAGCCCTTAAAAATCAAGGGCTTAAAAAGTATTTATGGTGCCCGGGGTCGGAGTCGAACCGACACGCCTCTCGGCGGGGGATTTTGAGTCCCCTGCGTCTACCAATTTCACCACCCGGGCAATGGCGCGCATAGTACCATAAATAAAGGACTTGCGGAAAATGTCTATGTGATTTTTTGGCTATTTTTGCTTCGCAATTCTGGGCTTGCTTCGCAATTCCTGTTTTTTAGGTCAATTTTCCTCCTCTGGTGAGGGGCTGAAATCATGCCAAAAACAGATAAGAGCGCAAAGAGAAATTACGTTACCCCATACATTTTTTTGTGAATAAGGAGTTTCATGAGTTCACTCATTTCAGAACCGAATAGGCCACTAGCACTGCGCCAGCAATCCCCATTTTCTAATAGAAAGAGGCTATTAGTTATAGGGTTTACTGGTATCTTTTGGTTTACTTGCCATATGTGCTTCGGGTTGGTATTAATGAAAACCCTCACGGATATTGCGAAAACGGGTGCATCGTTAGGATGGTTAGTAAAATGGCAAGTATGGGTGGCATTTTCTACTCTTGGTGCTTTAGTACAGGTATTGAGGCAAACTGCATCTGGTATTTACGGAGCTCTTGAGCAAGCTCCTACGTCTCTGATTGTATTGCTGGGATCGGCTAGCGCGATAATGCATTTGTTTTGTTTGAGTGTATTTATACGTATTGCACTTACCTTTTTCGCACTCACTTAGGAACCCCTGAATGACCTGTAGTGTCATGCTATCTACTTGTATTGTCTGTGCTTGCTTTCCTTGATCTCGATTTATTCAGTGCTTCCTTAAGAAAATTAAATTCCCTGTCTATATATCTAATGGCTAGACCATTGCCTGCTCCATTCGGTTTTTTATTTAGCAACTTCCCGAATATTTCGCAAAACTCTCTGCCAATAAACGCTCATACTCCGCTAGTACAGCACGCAATCGGCTCAAGACAGCAGAGCGCTGCCGCAACAACGCATACCGATCCTCAACCAGCTTAATCAGAATTTTTTCCCATTCGTTAGCCTTAGCAAAAGCGCTCTCAGGATAACGCGCAGCCCGACTCCCTTTGCGAATATGCACGGAATACGGTTTCTTGCGAATAAAGTAATTCCGATACCAGGTGGCCTGTAGAGAATGATGGATAAGTCTGACCCGCGTGCCAAACTTCCCTTTTTCTTCTTGATTTCCATGTGTGCGTTGATAGTGATTCTCTGCCCAAAAGTTATCGGCTTCTTTCTGGGCTTCCACCACTAACCGCTGAAGCTCCTCCTCAGCCAACGTCTTCATTTGATTTATACAGTCACGCGCAGCTTTTGCTAAGTGCTGACCACTAATCTGCTGTCGTTCAGCGGTAGCCTTCGCTTCCATTAAAGCGGCCCAATCTTTATCCATTCAAAACATATTCTCCACAGTGAAATAACCTTCCACGTACCACCACATACCTATCCTTTGGGGAACATTCAACGTCTGTGCCACATAGATGGGAACATGCGTTGACGAGTTCCAATCAGTTAAGAGGAAATTAACCGTTTATATCGGTGACCTATCACTCTATAGAGTGCCTCCACACCCCATTTCACGTTCATACCTCACCACTAAACGCGGGTATTGTCTTAGAGCTAAAACAAGTTTCTCCAAGGACAGAGGGTGCAACAGGGTAATTTTTTGATGAAGCGAGCAAGCAGTTTGTCGTGGCATAGCTGGAGCATAAAACCGCTATGGCATCGTCTATTTAGGCTATGGCTTAAAAAATTACCGCCTGCTAAAAGCCAAATATTGCCCAAAGCACCTATTCAGCCAGAGATTCCTCGGTATCCCCCTTTTGCAGAAGGGCTGCCAACTACACCAATTGATGCAATATTGTCGAGTCAATGGGTGTTGATTGAGCGCCTCCGGTCAACACTAGGGCTGACCTCAGACGAATTTAGTCGATTGGTATTGCCGGTCTTATCCCGTTATGCGGCTTTCGTGCATCTGTTGCCTGCATCAGAGCATCACCATCATCGAGGCGCAGGCGGTTTATGGCATCACAGCCTGGAAGTCGCTTTTGGTGCAGCCCAAGCTTCTGAAGAAGTGATGTTTTCTACTGATGAAGCGCCACAACTTCGTCGAGATTTAGAACCACGTTGGCGGCTTGCGGCCTGTTTGGCTGGATTACTTCATGACGCGGGTAAACCGCTATCGGATCTCATCGTGACAGACCAAGTGGGTCAGCAAGTATGGAATCCATATTTTGAGGATGTAATTCAATGGGCGGCACACCATAAAATTGAACGCTATTGGATTCAGTGGCCCACTCGTCAACACAAGCGCCATCA